TTACCGTGGTTTTAATTTCACCTTTCCTCAGCCAATCACAGCACAGCAGCGGCAGCCAGCGAACTTTAGCCCACTCGCGAATTAAAACGACGACGATCTACTGCTAGCCTGCCTCTCTCTCTCTCTCTCCTGATTTTTTTTTTCCTCTCCGTCTCCCCCCTCCTTCCTTGCCTGTGTGTGTATTTTCTCTCTTCTATCTTTCCTCTTTCTTCGCCGGTCTTTCTTAGAGTCTCTCATTTAGCATATGGCTAAGAAAACCTCTCGCTGCTGACGGAAAAAAAAATAAGGGACATTATTTTATTATTCAAATCTTTTTATTCCACATTTCCTTTGATATAAATGAGATGGAGAGGGACAGAAAGGTAGAGAGAGAGAGAGAGAAACAGGGAGAGAGAAAAACCAACAATCCCCTTGAGAGAACACTGCAGACTCTCAATCTGCATCTATCTGCATTCTGTTCTCATTATTTATGAAAAATGCACAGTGCACACAATCCCAGCCATTAATCAATAACCCCCCACTGCCCCCACCCTGCATATGCATATAAAGCCCAGGTCTGAAAAAGGGGTGGGCTGAATTAATCATCGATTATCAGTAAAGCCAGGAGAGAGAGAGAAAGAGGGAGAGAGAGAGAAAGAGAGAGAAATATAAAGCTTATAATAGAGTACCTAGTTAACCGAACTACTGACCAACACTTGTTGGTATTTCCAAATGAGTATTCAAACACTTGCTCTCAAATATCACCCTTAACAACATTCAAGATTCATTTAAAAAATTGCAATTTTGTCACAAAAGTGTAATTCCACCAATTTTTCAAAATTTCTGCATAATAATTTCTGCAGTAATTGAGAAAGCTACTCAGAGATATGAAACGGTCCAACGTAGAGAAACATAGAAGTGGTGGTGATAAGAACCAGGAGTCACCATGTCCACAACACAAATATAGCCATTTTATTTACTATCTAAAACCATTATGCCCTGCATGTACCTCCACCATGAATTACTTTACAGAAAATACTTTTTAGGCCAAAATCATATCTCAAAACAATGTCTCAGGCATCAGGCCGTGAATGCATAACCATTTCATTTCAGACGTCTGGTTCCTATAACTACGATCCCTGGTGATGCTACAGCTATCCGTAGCCGGGAGTCCAAGAGAGCACAACTGGCCTCGCTCTCTCTGGGTGGGTAGGATGGCCCCCCCTTCTTCCCCCATCACTCAACGCGATGCTAGTCAGCGCAGGCGTCTTTTAGCTGACGTAACAGATCTGGCGTTTGGTGCTTTCCTCCGAGCGCGCTCAGCTGTCCAGTGACGTTGCGTGAGCGGCAGTTCGAAAAGAAGCGGTGGCGCTTCACATGTCTCGGAGGAAGCCTGTGTTAGCCTTCACCCTCCTAGCACTGGTAGTATCATGTGATTAGGGGAGTCTTAACTAGCGGTGAAGCAGATTCAAAGCTGACCACGTTAGTTACAGCAGTATATCACAGAGTCAAAAGAGATAAACCTTTTACTGAGTATCCATGTGAAATAGACCTTTAAATTGAAAGTGGACTGGAACTTAGTAGCCAATATTGTACTGACATGGCTTGCAGAAGCTAAGGTCATATACGCTAACTTATGCATGAAAATGCTAATGTTCCGTTTGTTGATAACTTTAATGTGAACATATTTGTAGTAAAACAAATACAATTCAGAGGAGGGAATCTAAACAGTTTTGTTGAAAACTTTGTGTCAATTATTAGGTTTACCACGGTGATCTACAATGACAACACTAACACTTTGGTTCGGGACAGTGAGCTTTCAGGTCACTTGACCAACTGGGCAAGTTGGGGAAAAAAGTTAATGCTGAACCCTGCAAACCAATCCAAATAAATTTGTTTACATCTTTACGACTAAATTATGCAGACTTTTTGAAAAATTGGATGGAAATCGCCTTTAAGAACTGGAATTGGTGGAATTGGTGGAATATCCCAATGCATATTACTGCAGCGTCACTGATGCACTCCCCAGCCTAAACCTTCACTTTAAAACAAGCCTTTGTTTATCCCATTTCCATTGTTACTATAAAGCTAATTTCAGCCAGTGCCTTTTCAGTGTTATCCCCCTGCTTATTACCTGAAACTGAGAAACTGGGTGGAAAGTGCAGCTTCTAAACCTTTAATCCACATGACACATGTGTCTATTGATATAAGAGCACATACTTTATTATGAATTGAATTTGATGAAAGACTACTGCTGTGTGAAGTTTTGTTTTGCAGCAAGAAAAACATCCTTTCCTTTTGTCTGTGCTCATCACTGTCTGACAAGCGCAGACTCGAACCTGTCTGATACAGAGTGTAAATCAAACCGAAATGTATTCACTATGCAAGTAGCTATACACTGTGTAATTACACTTAATTATGTAATGTAATTTGACCTAATAGCAAAATGACAATAATAACAACAACTCATGACTTCCAAGGTTTAAACTTCCCTCTGCACACACAAATCACTTCAGGAATCTGAAGGACGTGGTTAAGTGCTCCCAAACCTTCAGCTGCCAAAATAAAGAGCTCCTTAGCACCTAACCTGAGGGAGAGGGGCTGAACCAGTGGCTCCGGTTTCAACTCCAGCTTGGATTACAAAGTTAATTGCCTGGTGAAGAACAGTTCGATTTAAACAATGTCAACTGCAACCGACCCCCCTGCCACTCTTCACAGCAGGTTTCCTCCAGTCCCAGACGTGCTGTATAACTGCCCCCCCCACCTTCGCTTCCTGATCCCATACATCCTGAGAGAAGTTTACACCATGAGGGCAATTAGCACCACTGTGTCAGTTACCCTGCGCACTGAGTTTGTTCAAACGGACAAAAGTATGTAGCATAACTTGTCAAAGAAGCATTACTAGTGAAATTACTTGCGAACGAAGCAAGATGTTGGGGGATAAACTGTGTACAATAAACTGATTTGGACAAAATCAGTTTTACATGGGGAGGAAGGGCAGTGTGGTTTTACCACTATCTGTAATGTTTGTGATCCATTCACACAGGATAGGAAATCTACAGGGATGGGAGTGGCTACTCATTGTTGGCTCTTCCATCACACCCAAGAGTTCCATATGTAATACATACACAAGTAGAAAAAAATGTTCAACGTTTAATTTAGCCTAATTTCATGTGCCCTAACCATTAGCGATGGACCGATACCACTGTCCCCCCTCACGATACTGATACCAGATCCTTCAGTATCGGCTGAGTAACGATACTGATACTAACTCTAGTCCTGACCTTTATATAATTATATAATCCATCATCTATATATAATTATATTGTTTAATATTTTGGTAAAGTCTGTGCTCTGTGTCATGTTTACTTTTGTCTAATTTTTTTCTTTATGCCTAATATGTGTAAATTTATGCACAACAATATGTCTTTTACCTGTAACACTGCAATCTCCCTTTGGTATTTTATATATATATACACATATATATATATATATATATATACATACACTGTTTATGACCAATCTCATGATAGGCAATTTTAGTGTAAATTACTATAAACTTCATTTACGCTCTTCTGTTACACCAAAAAGGTTCCATACACAGTTCAGTTGCTTACAAGTAGAAAATATTTCCAACTATTAGTTTTTAATTTTCTAATTTTGCTGTCTTAAGTCAGGGATTTCAACATTTCTACAGAAAATCAAACCTTTTCTGTGATCTTACATGGTTTAGGGTTAAAACTTTTCAATTTTACGTTTTAATGTCCTGCACTCAAGGTAGGATATGTATATATGTATGTGAGTTTTTGGCTTAATTTGAAAATACCTGTTGCCCTTTACATTGTGTGTAAATTTCATGATGAATGGACCAAAATTACTTGAAAAAAGTCTGGTTCCATTGACTTACAGTAAAGTAAAGTTTTTTTTTCCTCCTCCTGTAAAGGTCCCATTATTTTGGAGATTTGGAGAAGGTTTTGTTCCAACAACAGCGATATATTCTCTGTCTTTGTCTTATATATAGACAAAGACGGAGAACACAAGTACAAAAAAATGCAAAAACTTCTTTTCCTCATGTTATAATGGGATAATTATAGACATGGCAAGCCACAGGAGATTAACAAAACATTTGGTTATTTGTACAGTTCATTTTACATTATGTAAAAAAAAACAAATGATGGTGGATTCAGATGGGACGAAAATCGCTGAATAAAATTACTGAACACCAATAACAATGACATTATCCCACCCCCCGGTGTAAAACACTGTCACTAAACATAATTAAAGAAATAAAAGCCAGTATGCAGATGAGTAGTGGAAATTCTAATGATGTCTCTCCTAAAAACCCTGCCGCGCATTAAAAGTCAGGTCAACTTAAAATTACAAAGCAATTTACTTCACAGCGTTTGTGAGTGAACTCAACTATTGGGTACTTTAGAACTCTTTTACACCTTCAGGTTGGTTTAAAAAGCTGTGAAGTAAGTTACCTTATAATTTGAAGCTGACGTGGCTCTCTGTTTATTACAGTGTTCAGGTTTAGGTATTTAGATACAACAAAAGTTGCTTTAACTTGTGTAGTCTAGTATCTGCAGAGCTGCTCATCACTAGTGTCTCAACATGCAGTGTGTGGAAGCCCGATAATGAGGAGGTCGTGGCCACAAAGCACCCAAACGTCCTTCCCTCTTCTGTTCAGAGCCAGACAGGAAGCAAAGGGTGAGGGAGGTTTTAATCAGTATCTTTTGTGGGGACAAACTTAGGCTAAGAGTCAGACTTCAGGGAGGAAAAGGAGCCGCAGTCCAAATGTGAGATCATCATCTATCTGTCTCGCGTTTAAAAAACGCTTCAGAGGAAAGGTTGCAAAAAAGTAAATAGTAGCCTTCAAAGTTCAAGATCGTGTTTTGTGCACAAGCTATCCAGCATACCAAACAAGTGGGAGGAAAGTGTTACTAGCAAGTGTTAAAAGCAAAAAATAATACAAAAAAAATAACTGCAGTAAGTGGTTAAACGAGGTTCTTTCGCTTTACCTTTTACGTGACAACGAAGAGCCTCCAACTCACACAATTACTACGTTTGCTCCTGCATGCCCTTCAGAGTTCGTGACCATCTAAAAAAAAAGCAGAAGAAAAAAGTGTTGCTATTATTGTTATTATTATCTGTCAGTACATCCGCTGCTGATTCCAGGAACATCACTGACTCGGCAGACGTACTCACAGTGATACTACTACTACTACTACTACTACTACTACTATTACTACTACTACTGCCATATTATTAGCTTCAATTTCCCAGCAGTATTTTTAAGACGGTTCCTAACTCTGAAGCAGTTGTGGATATATATATATATATTTAAGATTAATTAATAAATCAAAGCAGTTTGCTTTAAACCTGCAGTAAATGAGTTTGAGGGTTGTTACCATGGTAATTAGTTAAAAGAGAATTCAATTAAATTGCCGAGATAAACAAAGTCATTCAGAGGTCACGATGACTACAATACATATATAGTCATTTTATTTACTATACAAAAACCACCCATGAACCTTCACCAGTCTTCTGAGGTTTTATATGTAATGTTGATGGTAAAATAATGATAAATCTGAAGAAAAAAAAACAAACAAACAATTTCTCTGGGGACTATTTTGCCATAGGACACTCTGCATTTAAAAATGGAACATTTTAGGCCACAAATCTCAAAACAATATCTCAGGCGTAAGGCAACATATCTGGAACCATTTTGTAATACCTTTTTGTGAGGGAACTTTTAGAGGCTGTGAACAATTCTGAAGGTTCTCTAGAACAGAGTAGTTCACATCAAACCACTCTGAATGACTCTAATTTTTTTTACAATTTAATTTTGCAGACGTATTGAAAAATTGGTGGGTTTAGTCAGCACTGGCAACAGGTCTGCAAAAAAGAAAATAAAAAAATATGGGCAAAATTCAGGCTTCAAAATGGCTGCTATGGCTGCTGCTACTGTTTTCAGCTGTGCTAATGCACTTTTGTCCATCTTTACAGATGACAGTATAACATGAGCACATAGGAATGGGAGGAAATAAATGATACAGTATAATATTCTGATATAGAGAGTTTAAAAATACTATCAATACAGGGAGACCAAATATCAGTTAATATCTTTAACATGTATTTCTTTCAGTTAGTGGTCTTAGTCTGCAAGATAGCACTGTTTCTTTCTAGTGAGATCAATACTTCTGTTAGTGCTGTTACTGTATGGAATGGTTGGATAGCAGAGTGGATAACTCACTCTTTTCAAACGGGGAAAACAAACTGGGAGGAATGATTTGCTGCTAAAAAAATCAAAATATCACAATACTTTGCATATGACAAATATTTATATATCACAATAAAATTGTATCTTAGCTCAACTATTTTGACAGTCATAAGGTCTAATGATTCCCACCCCTATAAGCAAGTCTCCTTAACAACGTAACACGGCAAGCGTACAGTGACTTTGGCTTGCAGTTTGCATGATGCTAACTGAAAGCGAAGCCATAAATTGTTACCTAGATTACCTTGTCGCTCCAGTGCAAGACTAAAGAAGCAAACTTCAGATGCCGAATGTGTCTTGGCTGATCGAGTACATTTGAAATAAGGGGTACAACTGTGTAAATTTGGCCGAACTATCATTTTCAAGCACTGCATGACGCTATTCCTATCATCTCAGCTTCCTCTCTCTAACCTTCAGATGAAGTTCTGCCGTCCAGACGGACCCTCTGTCAGAACTGTCACTTCAAAGCCTCAGAGCCTCCACAGACGTAAAGGTCAGGCCACACCTGTGGCCCTTGTGTGAATTATTAATGTGGTAGTATTCTCTTTCTATCCACCTTCTCGCCAGAACTGAGAGCGAAAGCTTTATTTATAGCAGTCTGTGAGGTTAAACCCAGCCAGGTCTTATCTCAATCTGCTGCGTGTGGTCTTGGAGGGAGAACTTTTACTCCTGCCTGAAGTCAACAATAAAAACTCATGAAAAAAAGAAAGACTGAAAATCATAAAACTGCAACTTCAGAAACTGTTGTGTCAACAACTTTGATACCTCTCGGGGTTTAGGTACTGCATAGCTGAGCAGTACCATGCAAGATCGGGCTTGACTGCGTGCCACCCACCGCACTGTTTGAGCTCAGCTTCTTAGACGAAACTGACACACCAGAGGCAGCAGATGCCTTGGAAGTGGTAAAATCTGGTGAGAGGAAGGAGACACCTTGCACTCATGTACCTGCATGTTGAGTTAAAGAAAAGTGCATTCTCCACAGCCCATTCTGCCAGGGATCTAATGAGGCCTGACCGTTCCATCAGTCTGCAGACATGACAAAATGTATAAGTCTCCAGCCTGGATCAATGCCACAAGCTCGGAAAACATGCAATCCAACCACCCACCACGTCTATCTCCAGAAACCTGGTTCTGAAGCTGCAGTGTTTAACGGTCAACCAAACAGTGACCCTCCAATGTCTCACAGCCTTTGGTGGACAGCACTATAATTCTGGCCTTTATGTCTCGGATTCTGTAAATGAAACCGAAACGCAACTTTGAGGAATAAGGCCGCACCACAAAACATCTAAATGGTCGTGACTGAGCCTGAGGAAAAAACCTTCTAAGCTTACAGCCATAGTAGTTGCTAACCTCAGTGAACTTCAATGAGGAGCGAAATTTTAGTTGTGGGGGGCGTGTCCCCACAGTGTCAAAAAGTGTCCATCGCTCTAAAGTTTGGAATTTAAAGATCAAAAACCATAGACCAAAAGGTATTTTCAGATGCTTTATTCATATATCGTACTGGTTTCTTTTGCGATACATGATCGATACACTGGTGCTAAATATCTATAATATAAAAATAAATATTTATTTATTGAAACGTATGCGTGGCTTTCTGCCAGCTTATGGCTATTTTACATTGGAATTATGATACACACAGTCCGTGTATGTGTGTTAAAGGGGCATGAAGCTAAGCTATGTGCTTTGTTGTATACTGTTTCATATTGGTTGTGAAATTATGTGAAACTGACACTAATACATACATAATATACACATACATACATTCTTGTTACACAGATATCGTGATGTATCATAGAGGACTGTCTTGCAATATATCAAGTATCACAGAAGCACAGTATTGTGATATCATTATCTTGGGCAATGTATTGTGATAATATAGTATCATGAGATGCCCTGTGATTCCCATGGTACATTTTTATGTCTTTCTCTGTCATTTGCAGTCATTTTAGAGTCACCAAGAACTAGTGCGAGAGTACTAAGTGCATCAGAACATGCATAAGACTGCATGTGGATTGCTATTTTTAAAATGATCACTTTTTAAATAGCTAGGTAACTAACAGTAATGTTAAAAGCAAGTAAGAGCATATAAGAGCAATCCACATTTTGGTCTATGCCCCAACCACCACCCCCAATTTCCGTCTCCCACAATTATGAATGCATAACTAAATTGATCATAGCAGGGTCTGCAAAAGTTTCATTGACAGACGAGAGGTAGCTGAGGGGAGAGGGCTGGAGAGAACAGACCGACATGATCGCATAACAGAAGAAGAGTTCAGGCAAAGTTGAAGCCACTCACTTGCTGAATTACATCTGGTAACATTTACTGCTAAAGTACCTAAAGAGAGAGAGAGAGAGAGAGAGAGAGAGAGAGAAAGAGAGAGAGAGGGCGAGCGAGATGTAGAATGTAGAATGGATGTTTGTAAAAGCCTTTAAATGGGGACATCTTTTTCAGAACGGAAAAGTGAATGAAATCAGTGTGGTGTATTACTCCCTGCCATACGACACTAGTGAAGCCGCTCCACAGAGCCTTAGTGCTGTAACCTTACCTACACAACCTACTTCCACATTTGCTCCATTCAGATTGACGTATCAAGTTGGTTTGACAAAGCCAACTTACTGCTCCTCGTTTTATTATTCTATGCCTTTTTTTGTACCATTTTCATGGGTTGCAGTTCTTCAGCTAGAACCACAGACCTCTACAGGATTGTGCTTCCGGGACCAATCATTTCCCCATAGGAAATGAATGGTGGAAAACTGAGAACTCCAATCTAACTGCCCCAAATGATGTCAAAAAAGGACACCTCTCACACTGCCCCTTATAGACATTATGTAGGGATACCACAGCAATGTCCTGCCAGCACTATAGCAACTACCTGGGACACATGGCCTAGCAACACTATAGGGATACTATCGCAACAGTCTAGCAACACCTTAGCAACCACCTGGGGTACCGCTGCAACAGGCTACTGACACCTTAGTAACCACCTGGGATAACACTGCAATGGCCTTGTGACACCTTAGGGATAGCACAGCAATGTCCTAGCAACACTATAGAAACTACCCGGGACATATGGTCTAGCAACACTATAGCAACCACCTTGGATTCCATAGCAACAGCCTATTAACACCTTAGCAACCACCTGGGACACCATCGCAACAGCCTAGCGACACCTTAGCAACCACTTAGGATAACACTGCAATGGCCTAGTAACACCTTAGGGTTACTACAGTGATGCCCTGACAATTCCATAGCAATGACCTAGTAACACCTTAGCAACAACCTGGGATAACACTAGAATGGCCAAGCAACACCTTTGCAACCACCTGGGGTACCACTGCAACAGGCTAGTGACACCTTAGCAACCACCTGGGATAACACTGCAATGACCTAGTAACACCTTAGGGTTAACACAACAATGTCCTAGCAACACTACAGCAACTACCTGGGACACATGGCCCAGCAACACCATAGCAACCACTTTGGATTCCATAGCAACAACCTAGTATCACCTTAGTAACAACCTGGGATAAAACTGCAATGGCCTAGCAACACCTTAGCAACCACGTGGGATATCATAGGAATGACCTACCAACACCTTAGCAACCACCTGGGATACCATAGGAATGACCTACCAACACCTTAGCAACCACCTGGGATACCATAGGAATGACCTACCAACACCTTAGCAACTACTTGGGTTTCCACAGGAAAGGCCTAGCAACATCTCAGCAACAACCTAGGACACCACAGCAATGGCCTACAAACACCTTAGCAAACACCTGGGATACCACAGCAATGGTCTGGTAACATTTCAACAATC